AGATTGTCAATTCGGGGCCCCTAGATTGTCAATCTCGGCCCCCGAGATTGTCAATTTGGGGGGCCGAGATTGTCAATTTGGGGGGCCGAAATTGTCAATTTGGGGCCCCTAGATTGTCAATTTGGGCCCGCGAGATTGTCAATTTGGGGGGCCGAGATTGTCAATTTAAGGCCCCTAGATTGTTTGTTTTTTTTTCAACGCACCTTTTGTCCGCAGGCAGGTTCGCGTTAGGGGTCCCGGTGCAAGCACGGCCTATTGGGCAGGGCCGGCGCAGCTAGGACTGGTCGAGGCCAGCTAGGCGACGTCCCAGCGCGCATCGGCAAGGACTTCGTGCAGCTCGGGCTCGGGCCCCTCTCCGAGCTCGGCGGCTGGGGGAAGCTCCAGGAGAGAGTCTGTGCCACGACGGCAGCCGCAGCAGCAGCGAAGGGAAGCTCGGTCGCCTTGCAAGGCGCCGAGCAGTCGGGCGACCACGCTGGGGCACGAGCGTGAATGACACGCATCGACCAGTGCCTGGTAGACGTGGCGTACTTTAAAAGGACCCCAGCACCGAAATGGGCGTTTTATTTAGGGGCCATTTGAAGTTTAAGGATCATTTGGTATTTTAAGGGTCATTTGAAAACACGAGAACAGGAATCACCAGATTTCGGTCAAATTGGCTGAACAAGGAAATTCGCAATTAAATTCGCGAAAGAAAACCGAAAGGTTTGGGACAGCCGAAATAACCGAGATTGTCAGAAAGCAGCGACATTGTATTTGAGAAAACATATTGGCCCCAACTTTTTGAGATAGCCCGCAACTACCGACATTGGCAGAAAGCGGCGATGTTGATGGCATACGTTTGAGTAAAAAATTGGCCCTCCAACTTTTTGGAACAGCCCGAGATTGGCAGAAAGCGGCGATGTTAATGGCATGTGCTTTAAAGATTTGTTTTGTCGACAACTTTGTGGTCCAGCCCGAAATTACCGAGATTGGCAGAAAGCGGCGATATTCATCGCAGGAGCTTGAGAAAAACTGAGCCCCTTGAGCAAAACACATTTGAGCCAAACAACACTTGAGCCACAGCTAGGGTTTTTAGGGTTTCTATGGCTTGAGGTCAAAGGCTTGCGGGGCTTAGGGTTTTGTGTGTAGGGTTTCCGGCGGTTTAGAATTTGCAGTTTAGGGTTTTGTGTTTGGGGTTTGTAATGGGCGGTGCAACAACTGACGTTTAAGGTTCTGCGTTTAGGGATTTGACCCGAGCTCCAAAGCCAAGCTTCTTGTGGGCTATTTAGGGTTTGGAAGAGGCTTTGCACTTAAGAATCGGTCACGGGCTTTTCACACCCTGCAGGGCTCGAAGTACGGTCTGCTTCACTTGTATACAGTTTCTGAGCAGCAAGTTCTTCTCTGCCGTGCGATGCGAAACCTTCGAGAGCATCCTGATGCATGCCTTCACATGATCTTCGTCCATGAACGTATGGTCCCAGCCAGGGCCACGTCGGCTTGGCCTGTCGTCTTCGATCATGTGTTGCAGCACATGAAATTTTGGCCGCATCTTAAAATACTTCTCCCGACGTTGTACCGCAATTGAAGCCAGAACACCATAGCCGTCCAAAAACAAACGACCAACTGTTTCGATGGTACTCTTCTCTTCCAGGCTCAGGAAAATGCCACTGCTCATGATGCAGTGACTAAGCTGCTCAGCCGCCCAGAGCACTCCCAACAACCCAGAATATGGGCCATCGATTGGGTTGTCTTGAAGTTCGGACAACAGGTAAGGTAGGAAAACAGCAGCATCAGCGGCCTTTCCCTTGAACTCGGGGTACTCCGACCATTGCAAAGACTTCTGTCTCAATCTTTTGATGCCCACCTGCTTGCCATGCTGTCGTGCCCATAGCTTGCACCCTGTAAACAGTTGGTTCAATCTTTTGCTGATTGTAGCACCGGAGAAAATCCCACGTTTTCTCGTCATGAGTTTTATACAGGAACCGATCAGATCCCTGGCGCAGCCAAGGTGGAACGTATGCATGAAATCGGCTTGTATCATCTTCAGGTCGAAGCCATGTAGTCTACAGAAGCTAGGAGCTTCAGTCCAAGGTAACGGGGCACTGTCGACTGTTTGCCTCCAGCCGGCTTGCAAGGAAGTGTCAGTGTAGACAAGGTGCACACTGCTCCTGCCGTTGGAAGCCATGCACTTGAAGCAGACCTGGATCAGGGTTTAGCTGCATATAACGTGGGCCAGAACTAGGTTCAGTATATGTAAAGCAAAATCGATCGATTATGTCAATACAGTTAACAACCCTAAACCCTAAACCCTAAACCCCTACGGTAAACAAAACATCCCCGAAAACCTTTATTGGCTATGCAGCACTGATCGGTGCCTCATCGCTGCTGGAGTTCCTCTTCAAGTTGAAGGCCTGTTTCAAGTACTTGAGGTCACCACGGAAAGCCACAGGGACGAAGTAGTATCGTTCCTGGATTGTTTGTCCATGATACGGAGGGGTTCTGGGCATTCAGGTTTCATCACTGTTTTGCTATTTGGAATTAGCTTTGGCTTAAGTATTATCTTGATGGAAGCCAAGAACCCCTGAACTGCCACATACACCATTCATCATGGCATTGTTCAGGTCGTCCACGACAGCAGCATTCAGCGATTGAAGGGTCTGATTCACACTGGAGCCTTCGATGTAGTAGCGGCTTGCCAACAAGCAATACACCACGTATCGGGAGGCTCTGGAATCTGTCCTGAAAACCGACAAATCAGGAGTCCAGGACATGATCATCCAAGATGATCTATTCAAAGAGCCCTCGTCCCCCCACAGCACAATCGGTATAGCCTGGCACCAAAGCTCAGGAGAATCGCGAAGCCAGTGATCCTCGAAATCCTGTAGCATTGTAGCCCAATATGTCTCCAGTTCTTCTGTCGATTGGAACATAGTATCCAGAAAATCTTCGTCGATAAGGGCTTTAGCCTGATACTGAGTTTTGTGGATTGACATGTCCGTATCCTTTTCTACGGTTTTCAACATAGGCAAGCAAAAGTTTCTTGTGAGAACATGGGTCCATATTGGAAGGAAGATGCACTGGGAGCTGTTCGATAGAGAACTCTTCATCACCCTCTCGAATCACGGGTGCTGCCACATAAGAAATCTCGGTAGCCAGTGAATGACCGGCCTTTCTCACACGTGAGTGGAATTCATCTTCTCGTAAAGCTCTGGATTCGTACCCGGACAGGAGATCGGACCCATATACCTCACCTCAGCTTGCAACTACATCTTGAACCCAAACCAAGCCCTAACCTTCGATCTTATCTTCTTTAGTGTTCGAGTTAGGTGCAGCCTCGCAGCCCAGCTCCGATGCCAAAGTAATGCTCGAGCTTCCTTCAGCAGTGGCCTTAACCAACCTTAGAACATATCTAATCACAATAGCAGGACTACTAAGAAGTCGCAGTCCACATGTGCATCCCAGCAGCACTTCATCCAGCAGGTCACCGACGTCGGCGTCGCGACGGGATGAGCTTCTCGATGCAGATGGACCTGCGTGAGGGGATGATTTCTGTCTTCGTGCAAGATAACCGGGTAAGATCAGCAGCGGATATGTACGATCACTCTAGGGCCATATTTTTTCGCACATCCCCGGCTCTTTCATCGCAACGGAACTCCAATGATTGAAACGGACCAGTGTCAGTCACCAGCAACCCCTCAAAGCAAGTAGTGCGACTGCAACTATATAAGGCTGGACGACTGAGCCTATGGCCCAAGCCCCTTCCCGCTGCATGCTTTATGCAGCAGGTTGAAATCTTCAAACTGTTGAAAGCCCAGATTGTTTGATGTTGATACATGAAGTTGTAGTTGTTGTCTTCAGTTAGGGTTAGCTATAGGGTTTAGGGTTCAAAGATTTAGGTTTGGGGCTTCATCGCCTGCAACTACGGCTTTATAGGGTTTAGGGATTACACCGGTATGGTGTGGTTAGGGTTGAGACATGAATAAGATCTTATTCTCAATTATGAAATTACCTAGGGTTTAGGCTATAGGAAAGGAAACCAGTTAGGATTTACGGTTCCAGAGCTGATCAGGGCCAACAGCCAGACGGATCTCCGGTGATCGTAAACACATCATTTTCCACTGCTCTTGCAGCAGGCTCAGTATCAAAATTCGACAAAGAAGCCCAACTTGTACATCTTAAAGAATCTAATTCAATCTAATTGTTTGGGCCACTCCGTACAACGTACCAGGCTGCAGCAAATGCACTTCGTTCGGGGCCCCGTAAACAGACACGAAGTGTTAACCTCCAGTATGCACTATCCCTGGAATCCGGCAACTTGAACCTTTACCACCGCCCAACCCAGTGCATCCTAGGCTGCAGTAGCCGCTTGCTTGCGAAGCTCCTTCAGGAGGCCCTGTGCTTGCCCTTTGACAAGCTTGAGCTTCTCGATCTGTCAGGGGTTAAGACAAGTTTGGATGAGTGTGTGGGAATATTTCGAATTATAGATGGCAGAGTAAGTTATTGGGATGAGGAAATGGAAATCTGAACTGAGCTCCTATCCCCAAACCAATCCCATCAAGCCGAGAGCCTCATCAAAGATTTGCTGGCAAAGCTTGTCGAACTTCGGCCCGGATTTGGTCATACCCAGCCTGCAGACTAAGTACATGTATAGATGTGTGTATGTGCATGTTCCTATGTTCGTTGAAGATGAGTGCCACATACCCTACACACTCATATACAGCCACGTGACTTCAGAGAGAAACCCTTGATATTCGCGTCGTGGGTCTGCAATTGCTCGAGCAAGTCCGGGCTGTCGCCCTGTTGCATATCAAGAATCAGGTTGCTCAGCACCCCGATCTCCTTCTTCACAGCTTGACCTGGGATGCATTAATGCACCACCAATCTAGATAGTTCGTACACATAACTTATAATGTCGACAAGAGGCTGAACTTGGAATGCTTCTCTTCATCCGTGCGGAAACTCTCCTCGATCAGCGACTTCCTACCAACGACCGAAGATGCGACGGATTTGGAAGGACCACGGGTGGAGGCCGCTCCACGTCTGCGGCCAGCCGGCGGCGGAGCAACTGCCACAAGCTGTCGGGCGGTCTGAGATCTTAAGTGGGCTATACTGTTGTTTTTTGTTGGTCAGTTGTTTCGGTGCTAGGATGGGATGCTTGCGTGATTTTGAAAGCAGGATTTGGCTTCGCCTCTAGCATTTGGTTTCACTGCGTGCGGGCATTGATTTGCTTTACTACCAAATTACTCGGGGTGGGTTTCAGGGTTGAGGAACCCTAACATTGAATCAGGTTGAGATACCCGGGAATTCCAGGGGCAGGGTTGGCTAGAACTACGTAGGGATCTTTATAGAATATAGGGTTATGCCATGCGTCTCGGCCCGAAACCCAAACCCACTAAAGCCCTATCCCGAAGACGGACGACCCCTATAGGCCCTAGACACTTGAACTCCGAACCCGAAGCCCGAAACCGGCAAAGAAACCCAAAACCTTAAATTTGAACCCCGAACCCAAAAAGCACTGAACCCCTGAACCCGCATCGCCCAAAACCCTTCGCCCCCTAAACAACACATTGCACAACCCCTAAGCCCCTCAGCCTCAACCTCAAGCCCACGATCCCTGCACCCTTAGATCTACTCTACGTTCAAGTATAAGTGCGTATTTGAGCTGTAGCTTGCCTTGTGCAACCTCGGCCAGCTCCTTATTGTAGTCATCAAAAGCACGTAGTACATCACCTGACAACGGCTTGCTGAGCCCATTCGAAGATCTGGCTCGTCGGAGTAGCCCAGGCATGCTCTGATTGCCATCGGAGAGGAGTCCATCCAGCATCCCTGCAGAGCCTTGCATGTTGGCTTCCATCGAGCCTCGGATCCTCAGCACAGTCCATATTAAGGAAGGTTTGAGTGTTTGTATGCCATTGCATAAACCTGTGATTTTGTATGAGTGGCACTTGCTCAGAGGATTCTGTCTTGGTGCGTTTCACGATACACCAATATCTTGTCTCCTCGACACACCCTGGTGCGTCGGGATCCTCTTCCCCACCTCCACGAGATATTATCGCTTCGATTTTGCGCCTTAGCCCAGGGCAGGTGATGCACAGGGCAACTGCATGCAGAGCTGCTCAATTCTAATTGCAAGAGTGCATATATGCTGCATTAAATCACAACCGGGCGGCTTGCTGAAGGAATAGGGGGGTCGTGGCATGTCTTTTACAGCCACCTGCTCCCACACTCGCTGTCCAAGCACCCTCTCGGATCGCTCCAATCTCAGTTTCGTTTCCATCTGGGCCGCGTTTCCACCGGTTGTCACCCACTGTCGGAGAGCTTTGTTGCGGTCCTTAGGAATTATGCATTTCTTAGCCCTATATAAGATGGATGTAGAAACTGATATGAAATCCCAGCATCGGCGAGAGTGCCTTCCATGAGCACCTTGACATTCGGGCACCCGTCGAACTTGCCAGCCTTCCAGAAGCGATCCTCAGCATTGGGAATCATTCTTGTGACATCACCTCATAAGACGGTTAGGGTTTAGGGCTTGTATAGGGTTCGTAGTTCAGACTAGGAGCCATCTTCATGTACTCTTTCTTGTGCGTCGTGCTGTTGACGGTCTCGGCCTCACCTGAGGTAGCCTGGTCCGGCAGTGCAAGGACAGGGGGCGGCCCGACTGCGGTTCTGGCTGGTGGCTCGACAGACGACGGCTTCTCAGCTGCTTTAGCTGAGGAAGACTTGGACGGGGATGCGGGTTTCGATGCTGGCTTCGCCTTCGCCTCGGGTCTGGCAGCGGGTTTCGGGGTGTGTTCTGCAGAAGCGACTTCCTTCTGCTTCACCAAACCATCAACTCGTTGAAGCAAGCTGGACAGCTCCTCTGAGTAGCCCAGCTGGCTGGCACTGGGGCCAAGCCTTGGTCATGATTAACCTATATGGGACTGTATAGGTTTAGGGTAGTTAAGGGTTTCGGGCATTGGATTCAGCACAAGGGACGTTTTCAGCAGATCTGATAGGTCAGACAGAGAGTCTTGTCGAGCAAGCGTGCCAGCAAGAGCCGACTCGCCCGCGAGGCTCGTTTGCCCGGCTTTGAAGGTGACACAGGACCTTAAGCGTTTCATCTACTGAAATTCGTATAATGAAATACTAATACAGAACTCTATATAGTTCGATGCCTAGGCACTCCTTCTCCTCATCATCTTCTGGGTGCTCCTTATCATCCTCTTCTGGTTGCTCCTCCTCATCATCTTCCTTGTGCTCCTCGTCGTCAGGCACCCACTGATCCTTGTCATATGTTGGGTCGCCCTCGATCTCGCAAAACCGAGGGTCATCACCTTCATCGCCCTCCTCCTGCTCCTCGGCCGGCTCTACCTGGGTTTCGGCTTGGGACGGATCAGCGAGTTCTGCTGCTGCTAGAATCTCCCGTTCATTCATGGGCTCACCATCCACATTCTCATCATCTTTCGGGGCTGGAGCTGTTTTCTTGCTTTTGCTTGGAGGCTTGGTCTTTCCATTCAGGCGGGTTTTGGGGGGCGTGCGTATCACGATGGCCTTTCTCCTCGTCTCCTTCACATCCTTCTCGAGGTCCTCCTTTGCATTCTTGCGTTTGAGCCCTTTTTTCTTGGCCCTGTAGAGTTTTGCAGCTTTCGTCTTTGGGGTTGCCTTTTTCTCGGCTTCTGCTGCGGTATCTTGCTCCTCTTCCGGCTCCTCTTCCTCTTCCTCCTCCTGTGGCTCGGGCACGGGGGAATCCTCCATTTCATCATCCTCTTCCTCCTCTGGTTCTGTGGGCACGGGTGTGGCCTTGCCCTTGGCTTT